CTGACATGAAAACTTAATTTTTTTTTTTTTTTTGTGGAGAAAGGGGGGGCCCTGGGGTTTTTTGTTTTTTTTTTTTTTTTTTTTTTTTTTTGGGTTGGGACCTAACCAGGACAACAACCCTAAACCAGTTTAGACCACAGCATATTCATGTCCAGTCAAAGTCGAGGCCTAAATCCAGCTGAGAATCTGTGGCAAGACTTGGAAATGGATGTTCACAGATACAGAAAAGTTTGGCATAGTGAAGAAAAACAAGCAGAACTTTCAGTTTTTTTCAAGACCAGTTTGTAGAGACACTGTACCTCAAGAGTTGCAGCTGTAACTGTAGCAAAAGGTCTATTGTATGCTATGATAGCACTGACTCATGGAGGTTAAATATATACGCAGAGCACACTTTTCAGATTTTTATCTACAAAAAAAATGTAAACCGTTTATCTGCTCCTTCTGTTCATATAAACAACTCTGTTTTTAACATTCAGACGTACAATGAAGCACTTTCATTCTCCCTTCAGAAGAATGTGGGCCATTATTAGAGCTATAGTGTGGCAGCATGTGGCTGCATTAACTACAATCCAGCCCCTTGTGAAGTGGGCTCTTTAAAGGCACAGGTGTTTATCTTGAGAAAAATGGCAATCGAATCCTTGTTGAAAAATTGGATTGATTACATTCTTTTGTTTTAGTAAAATAACTTCTAGACTCAACACGCGTTTAAAGGCCGTTGCTGTTCGAGGAGCGGTACAGACGCTACATAATCTGAGGGTCATGAGAAGGCCTATTTCTGTAAGGTGCAGCTGGGACTTCAGATATGAGCCTGAGGTGAAGGTGGGAGGATCAGAATATTCTGACCAGTGTCATTTTCTCACACATCTTCTTCTATTGTGTGTGAGTGTGTCTGTTAGCAGCATATCTGACCTGTCTGGCCTGGAGGTGCTGTGTGTGATAAGCCACTTTACTTCCTCTCAAGCAGACATCCATCCAAAACATTCCCATATCAGCACAAAAGCTAGCCTTGTCTTCTAGACCGAGATCCCAGCGGTTTGTTCCTGGAATCCGTCTCCACTCCCCCGGATTGGGAGCCGCTGCTCCAGCTGAGGCCCTGCTGAGGCCCTGCCTCTCCACAACGCCTCTGTTTCCTCTTTGAGACGTTGGAATTTCTCAAGCTGCTTGTGTTCCTTCTTCTGCATCTATCACTACTGCCCTCTTTTCTGCTTTGTTCAGCATCACAGCATCCAGTTGGTTAGACATCACCTTTTTATCAGTCTGATTCTTAGCGGTTTGATTCTCCATCACTCTCGGTGGAATCTCCCACTTTGACCAGGGAACCTCCAGTCAAAGTGGGAAATATATATTTGATATACATTTGGTGATATATGTCAAATATACCATTTGATATATATCACCAGTAGTTCCAGCTGCTGAGATCAGATTGTTCTGGCGCATAATGGGCTCGACACACAAAAGGCAACGTCACTCCTTCTCCATACCCTCCTAGGAGAGGCTTTTAGGTCAAAATAGTTGATTCAATTAATCTGCATTAAGCTTTCCAGAATAACTGCATTTGTTAATAGGTTACCGTTGACAGTCTTACAGAAACCGAACTTCAAAAAGTGCTGATGAGATTTCATCTTGCTGTGCTCTTTCGTCAGGTATCTCGCCAAGCTGTCGTCAGTGGGGAGCATCAGGGACGAGGAGACGTGCGAAAGGTTACGAGGCCTTATCCAAAGACAGGTACACTCAGTGGAAGGACTGACAGTAATCACAAGAGAAGGGTTTCAGAGTTACATGCAGAATTCACTGGGACTCACCTTGTGCAAGGAAAAAAAAGTCTTAGCTGAGTTACAGCAGTAAGTTTTGAGATTTAGGAAAAAACATGTTCTAATTCAGGGTAATGTTGTCAAATAGAGTTGCCCAGATCAAGATGTTTGTTGCTACAGAAGAGTTAAGAAAAACTGGGTATCAGCGAATACCAAGTCCAAGTCCAGTACCTCATCAAAGTTATTCAAAATAAAGTCAGGTACAGGTACATAAAAAGCATTTTTTATATATATATATATATATATATATATATATATATATATATATATATATATATAAAACCAATATGTATGCATTTATTACACATAGAGTGAAATAGTGTCTCAGAAAATTTTAATATTTTAAAAAAGTTAAACATTGGAAACTGGTTGTGACACTCCCTAATGCTGCATCCAAGCATATTCATAGAAAGCTGAGCAGTAGGAAAAAGTTTAGTAGGAAAAGGTGCAACAGGGACAACCGCAGCCACTTCGTAACATTAAGAGCCACTACACACACGGCTCCTACACACAGGATACAAATGTCGCACGTCTTGAGTCATAGCACTTCTGAACCAGAGGTAACGGCCAAAGTGTCTCACCTGGGTTAAGTAGAAAAAGAACTGAACTGTTGCTCAGTGGTCCAAAGTACTATTTTTAGATGCGTTTCATTTTGACATTAGGTTCCAGAACTTGGAGGAAGAGTGGAGAGACATAGAATCCATGTTACTTGAAGCCCAGAGTGAGGTTTCAACAGTCAGTGATGATTTAGGGTCACATCATCCGTTTTCTATATGCCCTAAATCATAGTAGAACATAGGAACCCGTTCGGTTTGGGGCTAGCTCCAGTGGTTAATGCATAAGAAGCAAAGTATACTGTGAACAAGTGGCCAGTCCATCACAGGGCCTGTTATAACAAGATGAGCAGAATATTATTATGTTTAAGCTTCTTCATGCCTTTTGGTACCACCTAACTCTCCAGTCAAACCAGCTCATTAACAATCTGACTCGAGATAGATACAGTCTTCAAAGAAGTTACACCTCGCCCCTGCTGATGACATTTTATTAAGACTTTATAGGTCAAAGTGCTAGGCTAACATTAGCAAGTTACTGTTTTGCAAGGTTTGTAAGGTTCTTGTTCATTTATTTCAAAAAGGAACAATGCACTTTACATAATATGCCAGAGTTAGCCATAAAGGCTAGTTTTCATCTGCATCAATATAAATTCAATATATTACAATGCAATACAGACATCTTACAAAGCTTCTTCCAAAAAAGAGAATAATAACGATATAATAAAAAGCTTTTTTATCTAAAAGGAGCATATTGCAAAATAAAAAACATACATCTATTACAAAAGTTCACCGCTAGACAAACAACATATATATAAAAAAACAAACAAAAAACAACACAAATAAGGTCCCAGTTAAGTTTGCGCAGAGCAGTCTTTAAAAACAACTTGATTTCCTGCTTCACAAAGTTATCACTTGCTTGAAAGTCTTAAAATTTGAAGATCATTTCATACCTATGGTTCTTTATGTGCTCAGGGCTGCAGGGGAACGGGTGACTAAACTTCAAACTGTTCCCACTTTCTTTTTTCCACACCTCAAACGACAGTGGTAAGGAGTCAGTTCAAACAGTTAGGTCATGTTTTGACCATAACATGTCCGCTGTGCTTGTGCTTCAGGTGCAGATCTGTAAGCGCAGTGTGGAGGTGATGGATGCGGTCCGCCGTGGAGCACAGTTGGCCATAGACGAGTGTCAGTTCCAGTTTCGCAACCGTCGATGGAACTGTTCCACTCTGGAAACCATGCCTGTGTTTGGCAAAGTAGTGACCCAAGGTAGGGTTGTACACAACAGCAAGTCCTGAAGGAACACCACTAACAGCATCAGTCAGCGCTTTTATGCTCTAATCACTCACAATCCTCATGTATTATAGGTCAAAAGTAGGAACTACTTTGCGTTTGGCTTCATTCTTATCCTAAGTGTGTTCCCTGTTTAGGCTGCACCATTCAGAGCAAGAAGCTCTTTTCATTTATATAAAATGTGTCTGTGTTTTCCTATGTGTGTTAGGCACCCGTGAGGCAGCTTTTGTGTATGCCATCTCAGCAGCCAGTGTGGCATTTGCGGTCACAAGGGCCTGCAGCAGCGGAGAGCTGGAAAAATGTGGCTGTGACCACAACGTGCATGGAGTCAGTCCAGAGGGTAGGTCTCTGCAGCACTTTCACACATGGAAAGGGAACAGAAAGGCCAGCCCCATTTACTCTTGAAAAAAAGATGAAATAATGTGACATTTTAAATAACTCATTTTGACCTTATAAAGCTAACAACGTCATAACGGTAATAACCACTTCCTGTACATATTTATGCGTTTTCAAAGGTTTCCAATGGTCAGGCTGCAGTGATAACATCGCATACGGAGTGGCCTTCTCGCAGTCTTTTGTGGATGTGAGAGAGAGGGGTAAAGGCCAGTCCTCCAGCCGCGCTCTCATGAACCTGCACAACAACGAAGCTGGGAGAAAGGTAGCCCACTGCTCAGTTCTCTGTGAGAACTGAATTGATTTATGGCTAAAATCTGCAAACTAACTTGCATTACTTTGCTCAAATTTAATTTCAATTGCAATCGAGACTCAGGATCGTTGAGCTATTTGAGTTTTAGATGATCAGATTAAAAGGTGTGGTTTTACTTCTAGTTCACTTCCTGTTTAGTTATAGTTAGTACCAAGTCCACAGGAAGTAACAAGTCAATAGAAACTTTTCTGCGAACAAAAAAATCCTCAAAGTTTCAAAACAACCTTCCACTTGAGGAAAAATGGGGTTGGTTGAGTTAAACATTTATTTAAGTCCGACCTTAATCTTGAATTTCAGTCTAATTTATGTTTTAGGACAGAGATTCCAGTCCTAAAGGGTCTGCAACAATTAGATGCCTCTGTGCTGTAACACACCCAATTCAAGTAATTTCATGATTAGGAAACAGGCACTTGAAGACTGGAGTTGTCCATCCCCGTTTGGGGACATTTTTAGGACAGTCAAGTCCTTCTTAATTTGAGAAAAGCCCAAATGCCAGGTCCAAGTTTGTTGGTTCGTTCCTTGCTACCGTCTGTCATCTCCATCATTACGTTTTAGCAAGATGATCAGTCTGTTAGTGATTATAATGCTACACTTGTTGGGTGTCGGTGTTCAGAGAATGAGAGTAGTTGTGATATCTCTCCAGGCCATCTTGTCCCACATGCGAGTGGAATGCAAATGCCATGGTGTGTCAGGTTCCTGTGAGGTGAAGACCTGCTGGAAAGCCATGCCACCATTCCGCAAGGTTGGCAACATCATCAAGGAGAAATTTGACGGCGCCACAGAGGTGGAGCAGCGCAAGGTGGGATCTACCAAAGTCCTGGTGCCTCGCAATTCCCAGTTCAAACCTCACACGGATGAAGATCTGGTCTACCTGGAGCCCAGTCCGGATTTCTGTGACCATGACCCACGTACGCCGGGTATGTTGGGCACAGTGGGACGCCAGTGTAACAGAACGTCCAAGGCCATCGACGGCTGTGAGCTGATGTGCTGCGGCCGAGGCTTCCAGACCCAGGAAGTGGAGGTGGTGGACAGGTGTAGTTGTAAGTTCCACTGGTGCTGTTATGTGAAATGCAAACAGTGCCGCAAAATGGTGGAGATTCACACTTGCCGGTGATGTAATCTGCAGAGAGGGCCACGTTGATGGACGGAAAGCTAATATCCTATACGGCTCCTCAGTGACGGTCCAGAGGGAGCAAGGAGCTCTATGAAACTCCCCCTTCTTCTGCTTTAAAACCATCCCACCCTCCTAAAACAACAATGGGCAATGACTCTTTCAGGTCAACCATCATCACGCAAATATATCCTGCTGTAGTAATGGTTACTTCCAGTAACAGAGTCAGATTTTTTTTTTTTAAAGAACATCCATTCTCTTCCTGTCCTCCCTCATGCTCACATTTGGTTTGTCACTGATGCCTTTTATTTTTATATTCTCTAACTTATTTGTTGAGACTGAGGAGATTGACAGATGGTGGACACACAGAAGGAGACAAGTTGGGACAAGAAGTGACAAATTTGGAACTGTGACTGTACAGCTGAGGGTGGAGGTGGGGTTGGGGATCAGAAGGAGGGTTGCCTGCCCGCTGTGCTTGATGATGTTGCTGCTGCTTCCAGGACTCATTTGGAGAGCTGGATGTGAAAAAAGGGAGTCGGCGAGTCTGTCAGAGGACGCACCCGCACAACACAGAGAAACACAAACCTTCTGTGGATCTTCTGTGGGTTCCTCAGTGTGCATCAGTCCCTAACTGGCCACTGAAATACCCTGACATTGACACGCCCACTGGGTTCTTCCTCCAATGAGGATGATGAATATAATGATGATAATGGAGAGGAAAAAGCCACTTTCGTCTCCTTCTTGTTTGTTTCATAGCACTTGCAGGTGATGGGTATCGAACAAATCTAACATACATACATACACAGTAGGGGTGTAGCAAGAGGTCATGCCAAGAAATCTTGCAACGTTAAAACACTATAATGTTTCTGGCCTGAGTAAAGTCTGTATCATCTGGTAAGATTAGTGTCAGTTTATAAGATAGGTTTCTGCATATGAAGATGAGAGCTTAAGGACAGAACATCTGTACCTACGGCTTCGTTTCCATTAGAAATGTGCACAAACATTAATATTCTGCTAATGTTGAAAAACATAGTTGTAAGAAAACACTTATTTCCAGAAGGTGGGAAATGCAATTAAAATCACACGAGTGAGTCTGCTCACACAATAAGTGATTCAAAATTAAGGTGGTGACGGATGTACACACTGATAAGAAATATATTCATAATTCAGCCATCAGAGGAGCGACAAACCCCTTATACGTGGGAGCTTCTACATCAGCTGTGTTTTGCGAAATTGTAGTTGGCGATTTTATAGAATAGCTCTGGATTCAACTTGTTTGAATGCCAAAATCAACTTTTAATGAACTGTGTGATGCTTTGAGAGCTCTGGTGGAGCGAGCTGTGCACTGGCTAAAAATACGAACTGCTGAATGTAAACTGGAATGATCCGAACAATACAAAAAAAGTGTTTCTTTTACAGTTTTGTGAAATGCACAGATTTGGATACAAACAAAAAATATCCCTCATTTTGGTGCAAACACTTTTCATTGACAAACATGAGGGTTTTTTTATTGGTTTGTTTTCTTTAATTTACTTTCATAATCCCAGTTGTGTTCAATTTTATGGTTAATGGAAACTGAGCTACTTGTCTGAGACTCTTATTTTGAAGAAAATAAATGCTTCTTAAGTTGCCTCATTTTGTTAGCAGATTTAAAAACAAAGACTTGTAACGAGGCTGGCCCAAAGCTTTGAAAAAAGCATTGAAAAAAGCATTTTATTAGAATCTATTTAGATATAAGAAAGAGATGAAAGTTGGCATCTGCTTTGTAGAGACCCGTAAGCATCAAACCAAAGTTGGGTTCACACGGCCCAATGTCGTAAGAAAATCTCTGGCTGTGAACCTGAGTAAGTGCTCTCTGGCCATTAAGCAGGACAGATGGACCAAATGGTGATTTAGCACTTGCACTACCAAAGACCAAGTAGTGTCAGAAACACTCTGGGAAAATTGTGCAGCATGGCTGCTACTCCAACCAACATCTGATTCTTGTCCTCTTTTGCACAAGCATTAGAGCTACAACCGTCTCCTTTCGCTCTCCCTCTTTTCCGAGTCTGACTTCAATAATAAAGTCAATAAAACCCACAACTTGGCCTGATGGAACTGCCATAAAAGAGTGGGGATTCCAAGTTTTTCCTAAAAATGAGCTAACATCTTGCCTCATTCTTGCAATGTAGTCCATTGTTCTGACCCGGCCGTCTTGCTACACCCCTAATGCACAGTAAACGACGCCACAGAACAACACCTGCATCCAGCCATGACTGTCCAGGACACCTGAAAGTTTCTGTCTAAACATTTACCAGAATAGATTTGTAATGACTTGCTATTATTCCTGAATATCCTTTTGTGTTCTTTCGGAGTGATGTTGACGTTAGTTGCCATCTGTCAGATTGTTAAGTTTGCTTCATACAAACATGAGTAACATGCATGTACCAGCCAACTCTCCAAAGACAAACACACACACATTCACACCCAAAGGGGTCATCCAGAGGGCATGTTCCAAGAATGACTGAAGCACTTTCTCTCCAAGCGCACATAGAACCCTCGGCACACAGAAACAAGCATTCAAATGGATATTCACTTACCTTCTGTACATGTATTGCACTCATTCACATACACACACACACACACAACACACACACATAAAGTTATCAATGCCACTGTCAGGACTTCCTGTACCACCACCATAAAGCCAAGCTTCCCTATAACGTGTTTATATCATAGAGATAAACTGTCATTCTGTAAAGACACTGAAAAAGACCATACTGCCTATGAATGTATGCTGATAATGAAATATGATGTTTTCAAGTTCAGTGTTGTCATTTTTTTAATAAAACAAAGATTATATGGTGTTTGTGTTTCTAGGCAAGTGTGTGTATGAATGATAAATATTAAAGAGAAAAAGTGGGAGACCGTGAGAAACATGGGAGATTGCATTTCACCACAAGACAAACACACACATGCATAGTATGTCTTCCTACCTTCACAAGGACTTTGCATCAACTTCCATTCATTTTGTGTTCATTTCTACAGTTTAACCCCAACCCAAACCCAAAAACAGCACTTCTTCTTATGGGACCCTAGCTTTGGGCCCCATAAGGAGCAGTGGGTCCCCACAATGTGGTATGTGTTAGGAAAATGGTCCTTACAATGTATGAAAAACAAGGACACACACACACACACACACACACTGCTGACAGACATTCACATATTTCAATAAAATCGTCCATTTCCCGTGTCTTCAGCTGTATTATTATGTGACCACAGTTTGCTTTGTGCAGCATTTTGAGTGTGTGTGTGTGTGTGTGTGTGTGTGTGTGTGTGTGTGTGTGTGTGTGTGTGTGTGTGTGTGTGTGTGTGTGTGTGTGTGTGTGTGTGTGTGCTTCATTACACCCCGAGGTCTTTCCCTGCACCTCGTGACACCTATAAACATTATTTATGTGCCGTATACAGTATCAGCACAGACAGTATATCAATAGGAGATGGATGTGTTTTCTGCGGCACTGGGACTGCGGCTGTCTAGGTTTGGGAAGAACCGAACTGGCCTCTTGGGTTTCAGAGACCACTTGACTGAGGCAGAGCGGGGGGCGAAGAGGGGAGAGCAGAACACCAGGCTAGATCACGGATTACAGTGAAATGCGGACCACATGGCACAAACTTTGTTCCTCTTTCTGTCCTATTAATATCATACTGCCCCCCAGCTCTCTCCACTCTGGCCTTCTTGTTCTTTCTCTTTCAATATCTTTGACTTACAGTGATTCCAGTTGGATTCCCCGTCTGCAGAGAGTGCAACTCCAGCCATTTGTGGTTTTGGGATGGCTGGGATCTGTCCTTCATTAAACCGCTGCCATGGCCTGGGTGCAGTGGGTGGCGGGGAGCCGCGCTGATTGGGAATGTCTGCTGGCTTATGTGTCCGTACGTTCCCTCTGAGAGACGTGCAGGCGTACAGTCAGTCAGGGAATTCTCATGTGGATTGTGGTTTGCGCCTGAGACAAGAGACTGGCAGTCAGGCTCTGCTGCGGTGTGTCTATGTGTGAGTTAATAAAGTGCAATATGTAATATAACAAATGGTTGTGGTTTTTCAAAACTCCTCAAATGTTCCATCGTGTCGTTTTGGTGTGACGTATCAAGAAACACAGCACTGTCCCTCCCCTACCTGTTACTGTTACTGTTCAGTGCGGTAAATGAAAAATGCACTTCTCTCTCCCACGTCAGACTTGTGGCAACCCTGTTCCCACAAGTCTGAACTGGAAGTGATCCATGCCATCTTGATAGGCAAATGCAGCGCAAAGCTGATCCATGGCTTTGAGACCAATAAAAAGAAAATACCTGGGCAGTGTTCACTAATGTGCAAGAGAAAGATATTTCAACAAAATCATTGCTTTCGGCATTGACCCATATGAGACAGAAAATGGAAACATGTCAGACGATGTGGACAAGCTGCCTCTGATCTCCTACTGTGACAGTTCACTTAGTGGACATGAAGAGTCTGTACACCATGGAGGAGCTTCACGCCTGAAATCCATGGACGCATGGAATCGGTGCTCCAAAGGCCAAAGGACATATGAACTCTTCATGTGAATGACAAAGTTCTGATGACTGTCAGAGTAAGTACATGTGGTAACATACATGTCTAGCTATATGTCTATCTTAGCTTGCAGATAAAAGATACATTAGCTAAGCTAATATTGCTTGTTCAGTACTAAGTACTCCAGTAAATATTACTGATATTTATCTTAGTATTGCACAGAGGTGAGTACAGTACTCAAGAATTATAATTGAGTAATAGCCATAATGTACTTAAATTGTTTATAAGTTAGATAGGAATAAGCACGAGCTAGTTCTAATCTTGTGATTTGTTTATTGTTGTCATAGCAACTGCCTACCAAGATGACTGTCAGTTACAAAGTTCCTGGAAGTGTGACGTCACATGAGAAATATGTATTCCACTGAAATATTCTTTGTTACAAAACTGATGGAGCTTCATTAGAAAACCATTAATGATGTGAAACTCGTTCACATTGCTGTTGTTCCAGGTCTAAAAACATGCAGGACAGATGAACGGGTGAATCTCAGGTCCTTCCAGGTGTATTTGTGCATTGTTAAAAATGGATTGATGCCTCCTGAATATCAGCAACTAAATTCTTTAATTGAATTAAAATTATTTTATTTTAATTCAACTAAAAAAATAAATGTGATAGGGATATCAATAATTCTGAGTCTAACTGTACAGAGTCCCTCCAGAATGTTCCGGGTCCCAGTGGAATGTACATGTGACCAGAGGCTCAATCCTCACAGTCTTTTTAAAGCTGAGCTACCTTAAACGATCAAATATTATCAAACATGTTTTCATCGTGCATTGTATTTTCTGTGCTTTTTCACCAGTGAATGAAGTTATAAGATGTAAGCGGGCAAAGATGTCATCTTATTAAAATCAGGACACTAGGACGTTCATCTTGAAGCTGATTTCACTTCACGTATCTGCTTGATACTCCAGTTTGCAGACTTCCCAGGGCCGTCTGTGTGTCTGGGCTGGTGTGTGTAGTGAGTCTGCAGGGTTAGCCGTGTGGGTTGCCTGGATATTAATGCCAGTCACCCAGAGAACCCAGGAGAAGGCCAGCTTTAGCTCAGAGCCTGGCCCTCCCAGCGCTCTCCCAAACTCCCAGATCTCTCCAGCATACTTCTCATATTAAAAGAAAACAAGTTACACAAATGAGACAGATGGTTCTTGTTTGTGATGACAGTTGCGATTCTCTCTTAGCCCCCCCCACCACACACACACATACACACACACCTTACCCCTTACCTTCTACTCCCTCTCACCTCTTGTGTTTTCACTGTTTTTTGCTCCGTTGTGTAAGACATCCTCTCACATTGAAGCTTTTTTTCTTGTAATAAATCACATTCGTAGGCCTACGACTTAAGCTTCTGTGCATTTAGTTACTTTGCACATACAAAGTTTATTATGTTATGTTTATGTTTAATAAAGCCTATTGGGATTTTAAGTGATAAAGGTGGAAGTGGTACATAAATATGAAGTAGAGGGAAAAAACTGGGAAAAAATACAAATCTGAAAAGTCTACAAAGCATTTCTGTTTACCTGTTTACTCTGATACAATTACATACAATACAGTACTGTTTATTTTCTTCAGAAGCATTGTCATTGGTAAACATTGTCCAGCGATGCATAACTCAGTCTCAGTATTGACCTTTTGTCACCTTCAGAAAGTGGCTCACTCTGCCTTGATGGACGTCACATGAATGGAAAACCAGTCAGTGAACAGACAGTTAGCCTACTATCACTTTCATTCAGTTAATGTCACTGTAAGAGTAGCTATTAGGTGAACAAATGGACAAGGATGCAAACCAAACTTGTTATTTTATTGTAAACCTTTTATGAGAGCAGAAGACGGCGATAACAGCACGGTGAAGACCCGGCAGCTCTGTGTGCTCACAGATCTGCAGCAAACACCTTTTACAAGGTAAGATTAATGTTCATCTACTTCATACGATGGAATAAAACATTGGATTATGGCAAAGGTACATGTTTATTCATTATTAAGAATGGAGGAAATGCCCTACTATCATGTACGAGAAAACTGGTTAGCATCCAGACTTTGGAACGTTTTTAATTCTGCTCTGATGTAAGGAGAAACTCTGTTTACGACATAGTGGAAGAAATCATGTGGTGCATATTCAGGCAAAGTCAGCAATTTGATTAAATCAACAAGCATGTCAGAAGGAAGAAGATCTGGATTGGTTTCTAAGCCTAGTTTATAAACGCTGCCGTGGATGAGACCCGACGAGGTGAGCTGCTGCTACAGACAAATTAGCTTGACTTGAACTAGTAAAAGTTGTGGTATTGCTGGCAAGAACGACTTTCATGTTTGTCCTCTCCTCTGCTGAATGGGATGCACATGATGAAAATTGCTCAATAATTGGAAGCGTGGACAACGTAGACTGAACAGCTTCCTCCACTTCCTCTACTGCCGCAGTTAAAACTGCAGGCAAACTACAAGTCCAAACAGCGCAGAAAGTTATCGTCTTCACTCACGACTTCTTCTGTGCCCTGATTGGCCCGGTCGAATTTCTACTGGACAAACAATGAGAGAAATTCCAGACAGAGCAATGAAGGGAGATGAGAACTGAGCCAGACTGCACAGGAAGGGAATGGCCAAGCTACTCTGACAGATGAATAGAGCAGAGGTTCCCAAACTGTGGGGCGCGCTCCCTAGGGGTGGCGCCGTGTCATTGCAGGGGGGTTGCGGGAAGCCGTCTGGATGAAAAAACAAAAACAAAACATGAACACTGTGTGCGCTGGGTTTTTACCTTAGAATGGCCAACTCTGATATTCCTATGTCAATTTGATACAGTAGAGGCTTCCATCCACACTTCCCATATTTGTGTCCTCTGTCACTTTTATCAGCAGTTAAAACTGTTTAATCTATTGTTAACATGTTGTAACCCGTTTTTCCGAGCCGCCTTTAAACGCAACATGAGCGCTACGACGCTCGCGCTGGGTTTACACCTGTGAAGGAGACCTGCTGCTGCTGGGCGGAGCTACGTAGGTTTGTGTTAGAATCATGGCAGCAAACCAGCAAAACGCAAAGAACTTTTCACAGTTTTCCCCCAAACTAACAGACTGTTGAGTAAAGCTGTTGGATGCAGGTAATGTTAGCTAAAAGATGACTAGCTTATATCAATACAGAACCTTTAGCTTAACAAGTACCTTGTAGGCTACCGATGTTGGTGTCTATTTTCACCTACATTTTGCCCCCCAAAAAGTTGATGCCCCCCGTCACACACGTCGTTTCAACCAGACAGCCATTTGTAATCCATACGGGGGCCCCAG